CCTGGATAAATGGCTTAGAGAGAATCATCCCATAATGAGATTCCCTCTCACCTCAGTAGGTCAGATCTAGAGAGGTGCTTTGCTTAATGAGCTGTTGTCCATTTGTCATGTGTGGTGACAGTTTGGTTACACCATTTTACTGCATGCATTTATTTCCCTGGCCACGGACACCTGGTCTTCCCATTCTTTTTGGGTGCCTGGTAGGCAGCAAAAATCCTTTCACTTTAGGATCAGGTTTGCAGTTAAAGCTCTTGCTTATTTTCCAGTAAATGCACCAAAGCACTCTGGTTGAAGAAGAGCTTTAATTCCTATTTCTTCATAGGCTCCTTCCAGGGACAGACAAGAGTTGTTCTTGCAGCTGCTGTCGTGAGGGGATGCTCTTAGCTCACACCAGTGCTCAGCATCCTGTAAATCTTYAATGTGTTTTCCACTGGCTGTAATGTCATTCCTCAGCTTTGTGGAGGAATCTGGCAAGCTGCAGCAGTACAGCAGACCCTGTGCTGTTTCACTGCACGTGTGTTCCCTTCCCTAATTAGTAATGGAGAACATCAGCAGATCTCTGGAATTGCATTTAATTCTTTCATAATCCTGCTATGATTTAAATATTTCTGGAGCTGCCTTTTGGGGCATTTTGGTTCTTGTTTGAAAGGTTTGTTTTGCTTTTCTTGTGAAATGTTAAAAGCTGTGTGAAATTAATGTCGTTGTTAAAGGTCTCTCCATACCTCTCTGCATCATAAAATCTAAAGTGTTTATTAAATTGCTTAAGGACTGGCAATAACTCCCAGCAACAAGAACAGCAAAACAGTAATGAAAGGAGCACAAAGCTTGGGCCRTAAAGCAATTTTGAGTCCTCCAGTTTGGTCAGAGGAATCTATAAAACTCTGAGGGAAGAGAAGAGCAGCCAGGGAGGGAGAGAAGCCTTCTGGGAACAAAGTTCCTTCCTAGTCCCAGAATCCTTGGGGTTGGAGAAGCTCTCCAAGACTGCTGAGTCCAACCTGTGATTGATCCCSASCAGAGGGATCCCCGTTCCTGGAGGTGCCCAAGAACAAGTGGACACAGCACTCGAGGGRCCCCACAGTGCCCAGGACAAGGGGACAGCCCTGCCCTGCTCCTGTGCCCACACTACTTTTGATCCCATTTTTGATCTTTAAATCTGGGTGACAGCTGCCCAAGCAGGAAGGTGTTAACGATTGTTTCGGTGACCAGAACAGCCTGACATCACTTCCTGTGAAGTTTTTATAAAYAAATGCTTGTGCTTTGGAGAACAAAATTGGCAGCAGATCCATGTGTGTAACCAAATTGCAGCACATTCACATGTTGTGTTTGTTGCTCAGTTCAMATGTTCCTAATGAGCTTTCCTGTGGCTCCTGACTCTGGCAGGAGCAGAGCAGCAGATGCTCAGTGAGACACAAACTGTGGTGCATCTGGCCTGGCACCTCCAGTCAGAGCTGGAAGCCCTGCGCCAGCACAGCCGCTCTGAAATKCATTTCTGCATCTCTTTCAGGATTTTGAACACAACCCTGTTTGAAAGCTGGGAGCTGATCGGTCCCTACCCCTCCTGGTGGCTGTTCAACGGGCTCCTGGTGATCCTGCAGGTCTTGCATATCATCTGGTCTTACCTCATCATCCGCACGGCCTCCAAGGCTCTGGTGCGGGGCAAGGTAAGGCTGGGGGAGGCTTCTGCATCCTCCTTCCTACAAGCATGATTAGGGAATCGTGAGGAATTTGGGTTTTCAATCAGGGCTGTTGGTTCCTGAGGGACTTGCATCAGGAGTTCACAAAAGTAGCAGATTTTTTACCTTGATTGCTCTGTGCTTGTGAGTTCTCAGGTGTGTTCAAAGGCAGGGAGTCTCTCCTTGGAAAAACCTGGGACAGTGGAAGGTGTTCATGCCCATGAGATGGGCTTTGAGGTCCTTCCAACCCAAACTGTTCCATGATTCTATGAAGTCAACAAAACTGATTCAGTAGCATAAATGCTTTTTCCTATCAGACACTGATAATCTGATCTGGGTTTCTCTGATGGCTCTGCATTATTTTGTGTTTGACTTTAGCTGCCCCTACACACGGAATGTGGCCTTGAAAAATCTAAATACTGTGGTTGGCTCTGGGGGCAAAAGCAGGTTTCAGAGTACGAGCTCTTCATCTGTTCCACACAGCTGCTACTGCARATGCCTGATTTTCATTCTCTGCAGCTGTTTCTGTATCCTGAGTTCTACACCTTTTCCCTTTCCTTGGTTCTCTCCTGTCCAGGTGACCTAGCCAGAGAAAGGACTCTAAGCTCTGTCTTCTTCATTCTTTTCTCCTTTTCTCTGTGCCAGATTGGAGCTGGACAGTTTCACCCTGTGCATGTAAGTGTGACCTGTGGTTCTGTTTGTTCACTGAAACACGCCTGTGTTGAGGTCGAGACAAAAGCAGAGCTCTGGTCTTGGGGTTTTGGTGCCTTCTCCTTCTCTCCCTGGTCCTGACAGAGTGCTAAAATACTGSTTTTTCCAAAGGTCAGAGCATTGTCCTGGGGTCTGTTCTCACCTGCTGTCACCTGCCTGCACAACCTTCACTTTCTGCTTTTACACACCCACACACTCTGATTTCTGTCTTTGCTCCTCATCAGCACTGCCCTGAGGGGGAGAGGGCAGAAGGAATTGACTCCTTTTTGTGAGAAGGAGTAAAACAGTCACTTCTCCCCCAAGAACGATTTCGAGGGATTTCTGCTTCCTTCCAGTGACCCTTTAAACTTCCAAYATAGGAGGAGATTGGGGAAGGATAGGAGAATTTCTGGCAACAGGCAGAGGCCAGGACATCCAGCAAGCTCCTGGAGATCATTAACCTCACCTGGCTTCCAGCCAGATCTTCCCTGGAGTTCAGCCACTTCCTTCTGCTGGAGAACTCTAACCCTGCCTCTAAGAGAGCAGAGCAGAATGAAATCCTGCAATCCTTGGAAAGCTGCAAGGCAGAGTGCTTTGCACGTGGAGTTACTGAGGGCTGCAGAGGGAGGGGAGTGAGGAGCTGCCTTGGGCAGGGAGGGGCCACTCCCCAGGCCTGGCTTAGGCTGGTCAGGTTTGGAGCTGGCASCTGCCACCACCCAAGGTGTGTGTTTGCAGTTGGGGCCGAGTTTATGGGCTTTTCCCTTCCCCTTCTGGCTCTGCCCATCCCTTCTTCCTTGGACCCACTGGTGGTTGTGGCATGAGAAATTTTTGATTCAAAACAAATTCTTTAGAAGAATGGCCTTTAACTGATCTAGAGAAGAGCTCTTGGAGGACAAGAACAACCCCAGATCTTTAGTATCAGCTGAGAGTAGGAGTGAAGTGCTTTCTCAGATATCTAGAATATGTGGAAAATGGAACTCGAGCTTTCCAAATTGTCTTTTTCAGTGTCTGTGTCTTGTTCCCAATGTGATGACAGTCTCCTTGCTGGGAGCTTGAACTCAGATGTAGGAGGTAGATTTGACTGAAGGTGTTCATCACATGGACACCACCTTCTAACTGCTGCTTTCTGTCCATTTTTCAACTCCCCTTCCCCTCTCCCACTCCCCAACTCYCTTGGCAATGTTCAGGTATCCAAGGATGACCGCAGTGACGTGGAGAGCAGTTCYGAGGAGGAGGATGTGACTTCCAACAGCACCAAAGGAATTTTCAGCACTTCCAGTAACGGTTCCAACCGCCTGAACGGCCACGTGGCCGGTGGCCAGTGGACAGGAGAGGAGTAAGGCCCTGGGCTGGCCTGAGCAAACACGAACTTCTCTTTCAATATCTAGTTGTGTTGAGCTCCACATTCCCAAGTGATCTTTAATCAAAAACCCCTTCCCCAGAAACCTCCAGCAGACCCGAAACGGGCACAACCCTGAGCAGTCAGAGGCTTTGCACGGCACGAGGGACAAAGCCAACGACCGGGGCAAAAACAAAGCTGCAGATTTCACCTCAAGCCATTCTGTACTTCAGAAGTACAAAAAAAAACCAAACCCGAGTCCTGTTGATATTTGCAGAGGTGTCTTTGTTTGTGATGAACTGGTTTTCACTGGGATCAGCTCAAGGCAGAGCAGCTTTGGACCGTGGGGTTCGGTGCCACTGGTGACGGTTCGCTGCGGGCACTGCAGCAGCTCTTGATGCACTCCAGAAGCCACTTCAGAGCACGGAGAATGCAAGTTCCATGTCCAAACTGCCCTGGCTGAGGCAGAGACTCTTCTTTCAGCTGAGCTTTGAACTGTGCCACCCCAGAACTGCTGCTCTGCYTTCCCCCAGGGTGCTGGGGAGGTCCCAGCTGCTCATCTCTGCTGTCACCAGGGACCAGGCCAGCGTCTGCTGCCTCTTTTGGTGCTGCAAACCCCTCTGAAGTCTTGACCAAAGCCTTCTGCAAGGGGGGAGGGGGTTGGATTATTGCCCCTGAGACAACCAGCACAATCCAGGCCTTTTAAATTGTTTTCTTCCTGTTGCAAATTGTGGTTTTGAAGACTTCTCTAGACCTGCTGGATTCAGTTGGCTAAGCTGGGATGGGAGGGAGGATCAGGACTGGTGGGCTGGGTTTAACTCTCCAAAAAATGAGATGTTTTGGTCCTGTACTCTGAGACAAGTGATTGTTRCTGCTCTGATGTTAGAGCTGTGGAGGAACCCGGGGCTGGAAGAGCAGCCACACCGTGGGCTTTACTTCTCTTTTTTTTACTCAATGGTACTTGGGGGCAATGGAACAGTCAATCAGGAGCAGAATTTTGGAAACTTCTCGAGTTGTTACCATTTTATACTGTTGTTTACTCTTATCTCCAATTAAAAGTTGCTTCAGAAACTTGGGGTGATGTGTTTCATCCTGAAACAGAACGGAGGACAGGGTGTGTCCCTTTGCTGTCCCTGTGCTGCTGGCGACAGCCCAGGAGAAACAGCTTTTTGGGAGAACAGGGTAGAGGTTCTGGAAGGTAGTCCTGCCCATGGCAGGGGGTGACACCAGGTGACCTTTAAGGTCCCTCCCATCCAGACCAGTCTGCGATTTGGGGGACACCACACACCAGCACACGGGCCACTTTCACACGGTTTTATTGTGCTCCATCTGCCTCCCCCAGCCCGGGGGTGCCCATGAATGCAGGGCGGGTTCCAGCCCGGGGGTGCCCATGAATGCAGGGCGGGTTCCAGCCGGGCTCAGCTCTCGGGGCCGGGTGTGTTCTCCCGCTCACGGCGGTGCTGCAGCATCCTCTGCACACGCACACTGCACAGGTACCCGGCGTACACCGTCAGCAGCATCATGGAGCCCGAGAAYGCCTTGTAGCCAAAATCTGCCAGCTGCTTTCTGGACACCATGGCTGCACCTGCGAGAGACACAATCATAGTCAGGGTCGGAAGGGACCTCGAGATGATCCATTCCAATCCCCCATGTCCTGCTGGAGTCACTCAGAACAGGTGACATTGAAACTCCAGGTGGGCTTGGAGTGTCTCCAGAAAGGGAGACTCCATGASTCCCTGGGCAGCTGTTCCAGTGCTCTTCCTCCCCAGGTGCAGGATTCTACACTTGCTCTTGTTGAGCCACGTTACGTTTTTCTAGTAAATTCTAATATATCATTAAGTTTCTCTTTGCCCGATTCTCCAGCCGCTGGAGGCCCCGCTGAGCGGCAGCACAGCCTTCGTGCGGGTCAGCCACTCCCCCACGTTTCATATCACCAAACCTGCTCAGGGTACAATCGATCCTGTCATGCAGGGCGGTGATGTTGAATGGGACTGGGCCCAGCAGCGATCCCTGGTGAACACACTGACTACAGGCCCCCAAGAAGGCGGCCGTGTGTGGGGCTGGAGCGTGAATTCACCCGTCCCGTCCCTCCCATCCCATCTCATCCCATCCCGGCCCGGCTAGGCTCGGCTCGTCCCTCCCATCCCGTTCTGTTCCGTTCCGTTCCGTTCCGTTCCGTCCCTCCCCTCCCATCCCGTCCCATCCCCTCCCATCCCGTCCCGTTCCGTTCCATCCCGTCTCTCCGCACTCACCGCTCCCGCTCGGTTCCGCCGCTCTCCTTTCCCGCGTCACGTGCTGCGGTGTTATCACGTGGCTCGTGACGTCACACCCGCAGCTATCACGTGTGGCCGGTGGCGGGCGCGGGAAGCGTGCGCGGTGCCCCTGGCGCCCTCTGGCGGCGCCCCCGTCGCTGTTCCCCCTCAGGGGCCGTTCCCCCTCAGGGGCCGTTCCCCCTCAGGGGCCGTTCCCCCTCAGGGGCTGTTCTGTTCCCCCTCAGGGGCCGTTCCCCCTCAGGGGCTGTTCTGTTCCCCCTCAGGGGCCGTTCCCCCTCAGGGGCCGTTCCCCCTCAGGGGCCGCTCCCGCCGCCATCGCCGCCGCCTCGGGGCTCCCACACGGGCCCCCCCTGCTCTGCGCAACCCGCGGCTCTCCCTGTCTGACGTACGGCATGGGAGCCTGCAGGGTACAGCCCTTGGCCGCACGTGGATGGAGCCGAGCCTTTCCGGGCTCTGCTACAGCCTTGGGGCTCAGAGCCACAGTGCCATCCCRATGGTCATGGCTTCATGAGGGCTCTGGTGCCATCTTGAGGGTTCCAGGGCTTCCCCGAGGATTCCAGTAGTTTCTGGAGGGTCCCAGTGCCATTGCAAAGACCCCAGTGCCCTCCCAAGGCCCTGGTGCATGCCGTGTGTCCCGTGTGTCCCCAGCCCAGAGCCTCCTTCCCAAGTGTTCCCCCAATCCCTTCCCATGGCAGCTGCTCCCCTTCTGGAGCTCCTTCCCAGCATTTGAACTCTGCTCTATCCAGGGTTCCCTCGAGCTCTGAAGCTGCCAGAGTCACCCTTTCTCCCCTCCTCATCCTTCTTCCCTGCAGCAGCAGCTCCCAGCGCTGTGGCACTGTGATTTGCTGATCCTGCAGAACATAATTCCAAATGGCAAAGGGAAGACTTTTTATAGCTCAGGAAATCCAGCTCCAGTGTGAGCTGTCTATGAGCAAGAGATCTCTGCACTGGTCCCCCCAGATGAGACRTGGGGCCCTCAGCAAGGGTCTGCAGGGACTCGGGCACTTCCAGAGTCAAAGAAACACGGACAAGGGTGATACACAAAACAATTCCATCTCTGAGGAGCTGCCAGCTAAACACAAATCCCTGCTGGACCCTGCTGCAGCTCCAGGCAGCTGCTGACAGSAATCAGTTCTGCTCAGGGATCCTCTCTCCTGCGTGAGCCTCATATCCAAACTTGGATTCCTGAAGCACTTGAAGACAAAGAGAACTACAAGTCGTGCCAGCCCTGCAGGAACACGCTGGACTTCCTTTATCCTCCCTCCAAGCTCAATAGAGCTCCTCAGCAGAGGAAGCCCTGCCGGCTCCCCCCATAGGACAGCTCTRCTGAATTTAAAGGTCGCGGAGTGCCTGCTGAGAAAACGTGGCTAATAAAAGGCACAGAAACAAGTGCAGTGCCAGCAGATTARATTCCCCTCTCAAGACACCAAGCAGAGGGTTCAGAGAGAGCCCTGGAAAGGTCACTCAGTACGGGGCACCTTTAAAGACACACAGGGATGAGGTCAGTCTGGGAAAAGCAGCTGGGAAGAGATGAATAAAATCCCACAGCATGTTCTGGGAAGCCCAAACACAGAGGAGGGGAGGTCTGGACTGTGTGGGGCACAGTGGGGTCCTGGCCTGGCTCCTGCAGGCCCCAGGTGAGGACTCTGGACCCGGTTCAATGTTACAATCCCAATGCTCCATAGTCCTACAGCCAAACTTTAATCCTGGAACCATTGCTGAGACAAAGCAAGTGGGACACCGTGTGACACTGTGGCTGAACAGGGACCTCCAGGGACATTCTTGCTGTTTCTGGGACAGCAGGAGGGAACGGGCAGTGCCCTGTTCTGAGCACTCAGCAAGTCCAGCAGGCACCAACCCAGCRACAGCAACACACTGGAGCTGTAGAACAAGGAGAGCATCTCCCATCTCCTCTCCACATTTATTGGTATTTTAAAGGTACACTGCTAATCAGAGACCCCCTGGTTCTGGGATTGAATGGGGGAGGAGAGGGAGCCCTGCAGCATTCCAGCCTTCCAGCCCAGGCTGGATCAATAACTGCTGGACACGCTGGCCTGAGCAAACACAGCCAGCTCCAGAGGAGCAGAGGGACACGTGGCACTGGGCTGGACAAGGGGCACATTTCAAATCTGTGTGAGGCCCAGAAGCTCTGTCCTGTCCTGGGATGTTGGAGGTCTCCATGTACTGTTGTGGATCATCCCTCTATTCCTGCCCCTGTGCTGGGGGCAGTTTGCAGCCTCCCCACGTGAGGGAAAGTTTGAGACCTGCTTCCTCAGCTCCTGGACAGCCACAAATGTAATCACTGACTGGTGTAAAGAACAGGCTGAAGCGAGCCAGAGGAAGGCAAAGTGAGGCTGTGGAGCATTTATTTAACAGCAACATGACCCAGGCCTTGTGGTGACCCACCTACCTGCTGTGCAGGTACAAGGCAGGGGTCACACAGACCCCCAGCTGCTCACACAGACTGGGGGCACTTGGTCCCTGCAGTGCCAAGCCCCAGAGGACAAACTGAGACAGGCAGAGAAGTCAACGGGCATGGAATCAGCACAGGYAAACCTGTGACAACAGAGGAATTGCCCAGGGCTGGGGCTAGGTCTGATAGAGAGAGCAAAAGCTCTAAATGAACCAGCTCCAGAGAGTCCCTGGGTGGGCAGGAGCAGCTGGGGGAAAGCAGCACATGGCAGAGTGGCAAGGAATGCCATTGTCTGTCCTGGTGCTGCTTAGAAAGACCCTCAGTGCCTTTGGAAGACCTGAGGAGCTTCACTCGCTGGTGGAGCCTGGCAAGGGATTGTGCCCTCTCCACCAACCAGGGAAGGCAAAAGCAGCAACAGAAAGGGAAGAGCTGCTGCCACCCAGAGTGGCCCCATGGGGCTAAAAGGGGGGATTTGGGACACTGTTTGCCCTCCCAGGCAGTGCCCAGCCCTTATCTATGATGATGGCCTGGCAGAGTCCTTCCCAGAGCTGAATCCACCGTGGCATGAGGAAGTAGAAGGAGGAAGATGCTCAGCCCTGCTCAGGACAGACCTCAGACAGCAGCAGAAATTAAACAAAGCCCTTCAAAGAGAGAAAGAGGTCAGCAGGTACCTCTGTGCCAGGCTCAGTGTCCAGGGCAGTGTCTGGGGCTGGGAAAGGGAACCTCTGCCCTTCAGCACAGTGAAAGGCTCCCAGGAGACCCAGACTCTGTCCAAGGCTGTGCAGCAGATCAGGTGGGTGCAGGCAGGAGCTCTCAGCACATCTCAGCAGGGCCGTGGTCTGCAGGCAGAGCCCCTTACATGTGCACAGGGTGGTTCTGGAGGCACGTGATGAAGTCAGTGACAGGTTTTCCCTCGTAGCAGATGCGATACACCGCAGTGAAGAGGGGGAACCTGTGGGCACACAAAGGAAGTCACCACAGATGGCAGAGCACCTCGACTTGTGCCTTGACACGCAGGAGCAGGTGGGCCAGTGGCACTGTGCCCTGTSCAGCAGGCCATTCCTGCCCAGTTGGTGTCACATGGGCAGTGCAGAGACACCCAGGGGGCTTTCCCCTTCTGCTGCTTCTGGAAGGGTCCCAGCCCCACCCCAACAAAGCACACACAGAGATCCCAGCACTCACTTCTCCACTACATTCTTGCTCTTGAGGATTCGATGCAGCTCAGCAGATGTCTGGGGACCCTGCAGCTTCTGCCCATTCAGCATCTCCTTCTCCAGCTGCTCGATGGACTGMAACAAGCCAGCAGTGAGGAGCTGGATCTGCAACCCAGCTGCTGCCCTGTTCCTGCCCTGGAGCTGGGCTGCAGCACTTGTGAGTGCAGGCAGATCCCCAGTGCTAACTGGGATCACCTCCCTGCCTGCTCAGCAGGTTGATGCAGATATCACAGAATCATGGAACCCTCCCCTGACACAGCTTTATCCACCCACAGATCAGTGTCAGAGTCACTTCCAGCTCTGCTCACCTTCCCAGTCTTGGCAAAAGCCTCGGCGACCTTGCGGTTGCGGCCCCCATAGCAGGTGGTGATGAGRTCKGCGACCCCACAGCTCTCCAGGAAGGTGGAGGGGCTGACRGGGCCCTTACAGAAGAGTTTGGCAAAGCCAATCATCTCCATCAGGCCCAGGCGGATCACGGCAGCCTTTGTGTTGTCACCGTAGCCAAGCCCATCACARAAACCAGCTCCTACAGCCACCACATTCTGGAAAACAACGACAACGTGGAGGGATCTCTTCCCAACAGAGCTCAGGGCTTTGCTGTGTCCATGAGCAGCCTGTGTGATCCCAGTGCCCATCATCCCTCGTCCCCTGAGCCCCCTACAGACCCCAGACCCTGCACACCCACCTTGAGAGCCCCACAGATCTCCACAGTGTCGGCTTCCTGCACCACTGACACACGGAAGTTGGGTGTCTGCATCAGCTCCTTCAGCATCTGCCCGTGCTTCATGTTCTTGCAGCCTGAGGAGACAAAGGGAAGAGAAGAAAGATGATGGAGAAGATCCTGATGTAGGTCCATGTACTCCTGAAGGTCACCGAGTGAGATGAACCGATTGCCCAACCGAAGGATGTTACTAAACAGGTCCACAAAGAGCCAGGCACACATTGCCTGACAGATAAGCCATGTTCAACCTTGGCATTCCCAGAAGACAGGGACAATCCCTGCTGCTGTGCCAAGCAGGACAGAAATGACCTACTGAATGCTCAGTAGGTTAAAGGCATCTTCAAAGATTGCAAATYTGGGGTTGGAGCCTTTTGTCCCCCCTGTCCCTGCAGGGTCCCGAGTGCTCACAGGAGTTGTGGGCTCTGTTCCATCCCCCAGCCTCCTGCCCAGCATGTTTGCTGTTGTTTTAATAAAACACAGACACTTTGAATGCCACAGCAAACTGTTCTGTTTGTTTTGGCTCTGTGCACGGTTCCCAACAGTTTGGAGGATGTTAGAATGGTCACCAGATGAACTTCCAAGCAGCCCTGGCTGGCAATAACGTGAGATCCAGGTGAGTGTCTTGTGAAGCCCAAGGAAATCAAGGATGGGACATATTCCTAAAGGGCCTCTTGGTGCCCACCCCTTTAAAYTGTGCCAGGCAGCTGCCTGATGCCGGGTGCGTGCTGGCAGAACTTTTAGCTACACAACTCTGTTGTTAATGAAGCGAATGATCCCATCATAAACCCTGGGAATGAGCTCAGCCAGCTCCTATGGAGTCTCCTGTCTTCCCAGGGAACARGGCCAGCTCAAGCGAGGCAGCAGTTTCAGCTGCACCGTGCTCCCCCTTTTCCTCTTCCTGCTCATCACAAATGAAAGCTGCTAAGGAGAAAGGATAAAGATAGGATCCTTACCAATGGTGGTTTCACAGAACTTATCTTCTGCCACTTCATTGGCAATATTGGCCCCCATGAGCACGTTCATTTCTATTCCCAGTTTCTCATGGATGATGTCTGAGATCAGCCTCAGCCCACCTGGTCCTTCATCCACGCCCTGGGAGGTAGCCAGGGACAGAGATCACAGAATCAATCAGACTGGRAAAGATCTCTGAGATCATTGAGTCCCACCTTTGACTGAACACCACCTGGGCAAGCAGACATGGGCACCTGCCCCTCCTGGACACCTGCCCTCCACCCCAATGCCCCCAGTCCCACCATTCCCWGTGCTGCAATGCTCCAACTGATCCTGACACGCTGAGCTGTGCCCTGCTCCTCTCAGCACCAGAGATCCCTTACCCTGCCCAAACCCTCCTCCACCAACACCTCCAAATCCCCATGAGGACTCTGCCCCCACTTCCCCCCTTCCCATTCCCGCTCCAGAATCCCTGGATTCCCTTAGCAGCCCCTGCCAGCCAGGCTGCTCCCAGCTCCCCTGCCTCGGCCCAGCACCCTGGYGAGTGCTGCTCCTGCTCACACCTTGATGAGTGACACCCCAATAGCCTCTTTCTTCACGTGGCCCTTGAGCTGGTCACAGACGTTGCCGATGAACTGGTGGGGCACCACGAACAGGAGGATATCGGCCCCCGCACAGGCTTTGAGCAGGTCTGGCTCTGCCACCTGAACAGAGCGTGACTGTTGTTAGGRACTGGGAAGCTGAAGGGAGCTGGAAAGGAGCTGGAAAGGCCCAAAGTCACCATGCTGAGGACCCAGCCAGGGCTGGCAGGGCCGAGGGGCTGGAGCAGKGTGGGACAATGCCAGCTCAGAGGCAGCCACATGGCCTCCAGCCCAGTCTGTGGGATGCCAGAGCAGGGGCAAAGGTGGGCAGTGAGAGCAGCCAGGGCTGTAGCTCATCCAAGCACCGATGAAGGTCAGTGGGAGGGTGTAAGTGAGCCCGGCAGAGCCAGTGCATCCCCTGCCTTCACTCCATGGGGCTCCAGCAATCCCCCAGCGCTGTAGGCCTCTCCCCAGAGCCCAGCGTCAGCTCTGCCCCTCGACAGGCAGTGGCAGCCCACACTCACCACGTTGGGGGGCAGCTTGTGGCCCGGCAGGTATTTGACATTCTCGTGCTCCGTGTTGATGATGTCCGTGAGCCGCCGGCCGCCCACCTCCTCCTCCAGCACCCACATGTTCACCTGGTTCTCGAAGCTGCTCAGCCGCGCCGCGTTGCTGCCGGCGATCTTGGCGATGGCCGAGCCCCTGCGAGGGCAGAGGAGGCCGCGTTTGTGGGCACTGGGGAACCCAGGGCACCACAGTCACCCTGTGACCTGCAGCGATGGGGACGGCTGGCACCGGGGRGACAGGGGGGGACAGGGACCGTGCTCGCCGAGGGGACCCGGGGGGTGCCCGGCGCTCACCAGTTGCCAGAACCCACGATGCAAACCTTCTTGGCAGCCATGGTGCCGGGATCGGGGCACTGCGGGCCCTCAACCCGCCGCTGCTATTTGAAGGCTGCCCGGAGCAGGGGCGGCCCCGGCCCCGGCCCGCCCCCGGCCCCGGCCCCGCCTCGCCCCGGGGACACCGGGCACCGCTCCGGGCACCGCTCCGGGCACCGCTCCGGGCACCGCTCCGGGCACAGCCCCTGCTCGGCGTGGGGAGGCTGCGCGGCAGGTGCAGAGCGCTGCAGATCCCGCAGAGTCACAGGATCACAGAATCGTGAATATCCTCGGTTGGAAGGGACCCACGAGGATCATGGAGTGCAACGCCGGCCCTGCACACACACCCCAACAATTCACCCGATGCCTGAGAGCATTGTCCAAACGCTCCCGGGTCTCTGGCAGGGTCAGGGCTGTGATCATTCCCTGGGGAGCCTGTTCAGTGCCCAACCACCCTTTTCTAACATCAATCCCAAGCCTGCTGACACAGCTCCAGCCGTCCCCTCGGGTCCTGTCACTGTCCCAGAGAGCAGAGCTGCCCCTCGGCTGCCCCTCGGGAGATCTGTGACTCGTGACTGCTGAGCCTTTCTGCATAAAAGCACTTCATTCTACTCCTTTTGCTAAAAAGTGCCATTTTCCCCCCACGTAGGGAACAGAAACCACCTGGTGTAGCCCCAGGACTCAATCTGCCAGAGGCAGCAGCACTTTCCTTTTCACACAGAGGATCCTTCCCTTGCCCCAGGGGCTCCCAGGTTTGCAGCAAGACATCTGCAGTTCTATAAACAGACAGGGTGAAGTGAATAAATCCCTTTTTGCATAATTTTAAACCCTTGTATGTAAACTTTAATACYGTTTGCTCCAAATTCTACCCTCATCTCCTGGGATCTGTAACGGGCTGCCACAATCCAGCAGTGAGCACGGGGCAGTTCAAGATTAGCACTGGCCACTGGATTTCCAGTTTTGCTCAAGTTACTTTGTTTACCACAAATGCACTTTGCAAAGGCTTAGCAGAGCCTGCAAGCTGGGAGATCCCTTTATGAAGGGCTCGCTATAAAAGGCCAAAATATGAAGAACATTTTCTCTCCAGTCACTTAACCCTRATGGCTTTGAAAAGAAGAAGAAAGCGGAGATAATCCTGTCCCTTCCCCACAAGTCACCGGAGTCTCATCCCCCATGGCAGCTGGGAGAGTGCGGGCTGTCAGCTTGGAAGGAGGAGGACAGCTTCCTTCACAGGAGTCTTTTATTAAAACTGGGTGACGTCTACAAGGATACAGTACAAAAAAAAAAWTTTGGTCCATGGAAAAAACCGTAATATTCAGTTAAGAAAAGCAGTTACTCTGCAACAGCTACGTTTGCCTATGTAGGACTCAGCATGCCTCCTGTGGGAGTACCCTGAGGAGTCAGGGGCTGCTTCTCCAGCACCAAGACCTTCACCCCAGTACCACAGAGGAGCATTTCAGAAGGGCAAAGGAGAGGGGAAGTCGAGAGTCTATTACTCACAGACATGTAGTAACACAGACACAAGGGGTAGTAGGGCCACCCAGGTGCTCCAACTCACAGCAGCCTCCCCAGCCCCACTGAACTGGAGAGGGCTCATCAGTAACATGATCCCGCAGATATTCCAGGAGTCAGACCAACGTTTGAGTCCGTTTGCATTACAGTCCAGAGCAGAAACACTGGGATGGGGTGAAGAGGAGCCGTTTCATTCTCCTGACCACTGGGAACTCATTCCAGGGCTGCTACTCCTCACAGTGGAGAGAATCTATTTGTACATTCCTGAACCATGCTGGGCCCTATGGCAGCCCCACAGCCTAAAACTTGACTAAAAACCACGGCAGCTTCAGCATGGAAACACCTGCTAACTCACAKAAGCTTGGAAAAATGTCCATTTCCAGGGACTGTCCTGTTACATCCTTGGATCCACACGAAGGAGCCTCTGGTCCCCACAGCAAGTGCCACAGGACAACTATCCCAAAGGAATGAGCCTACAACACTGTCCCTGCAGAATTCCAGGCAGCTGCTGCATCCCCTCTTCCTGCTCCAGGGAATAGCAGCAGCCACGTGGTTTGCTGGAACCCACTTGTAGGTGTTTGAAGTGCAGAGAGCTGCATCACTCCAACGCTTCTGCATCCCTGCAGGAAGCCAACGCCTCGACTCCCTGTGATCCCAGCCTAGGACAGTCCATCACAGAACACAAAGGGAACAGGGAAGGGAAGAAGGGAGAAGGGAAAAGCAATTCTCTACACAGTTCAGTAACTTCCTCGAGGAGGAGAGTGACCTATGAGGCAGCCCAGTGCAGCAGCACCCTCCRAGGAGGGGGTGAGGGCAGGGAGGTATGTCAGCTCACGGCATCCTGCCCACAACAGCGCCTGGCACGGGCTGTAAAACGTGGCTGGGAAGAGCCCAGCCACACCTTARAGCAGAGCCAGGCTTCAGAGCCAGCTCTGAGTGCCCAAGCAGATGCTGGCTGGGGAGGAATGGGCTGASAGAAGGCTCTGAGTCACTCTGGCTACCGGGGACACTACGGGCAGTGCGAAGTCACGGGGAGGCTCGTGGAAGCCTTGGGACTGACAAGGCAACAGTCAGGAAGAAAACCAGGTAGAAATGTGTGCTCATTAGAGCCTGTCTGCTTGCCACAGACCACGAGACCCCAGGGCTCCTGGACTTGCCCCAGCAGGGACAATGCCAGGATGAGTAACGTGGGCCTCACTGCCGGAGTGGGATTCTGTGAGCTCTGCAGCTCTGTCTCCACAAAGAGCTGTGATGCTTCTGCCTGGGGAGGAGCAGAGCTGTCTATGTGTTCCGRATCCCCAGGGCCTGCTCCAGCTCCTGCCGTCGCTGCTGCACCTGCAAGAGGAGCCGAGTCGCAGCATTAACACACTCGGGTGGCACACACCAGTGCACCCAGTTAACACAGGAGCCTGAAGCTGGGAAAGGGTGCTCAAACTGGGACCAAGATACATCCCCACCTTCCCCAGCACTGTGTGCCCCAAGGAGTGACAGGGACAGAAAGGCAGCCAGGCTCAGGGATGCTCACCTTGGAGTAGAAGTATCGGCACACGGCTTCCTGCGCCCACGGCTGGAAATAGAACTCAGCTCTGCGCTCCTCCTCGGGATTCCCAACRACATCAGTCATTGTCTGGGGAGCACAAAGACACAACAGCTCAGGGAGTGCAAAAGCTCTGCCTGTGCTGAGCAAACCCACCCCTCCCCTTTCCTCACAGCCATCTCAGTGCACTCAGATCAGCTTCTTATGCTGGACTCCAATTCCAGCCTCGCTTTGCGAGGAAGAAATTGCCTCTTTCTCTCTGTGGGAGCTCCTTCTAATGAGGGAAGCGTGTGACTGGATCCACCTTCCACACAAGACAAAGCTTTTACCTTCAAATCCCGGCACTGGGACTGGAGCCAGTCATTGATGAAGCCCTGAGGATCTCGGGCAAAGCTCAGCATGAACTCGCGCTGCGTCTTCAGCTGGTTGATGGTCTCGATTGTTTCATGGATCTGAAGGAGACAAACACAGAATGGAACTGCTGAACAGTGGAGAAGTCAAAAACATCAAGAGATCCAACACAAGAAGACAAATTCTCACGCTCTCTGGTTGACTTATGAGGATTTTCAATTCCCATTTTCTGGCTCTAAATATTACCTATTTTCCCACAGACTGCTTGCTTTAAAAATGACATTTCCAGGTACAGCCACCTGTTTGTATGCACAGCTCACCCACTGCAGCTTCCAAACAACAGAGCATTCCTGTCCTGTCCAGGCTCACCTGCTCCAGAGACACATCCCTGCCCAGCACCAAGGAGAGCAGACCTGAAGGAGCTTTTCCTACCTTGTTATCCAGAGCAGCAATTTCCTGTTGACTGGCTGTGGAGAGCAGGAAGGAATTCATCTGAGTTTTCAAGGTGTCGTCCACCTCCACRTCAATGTCATAGCAGGCTGTTTTCTTCTGGTCATTTGGGTCAACACTGGGGACATCCACAAGAAGCCAAAATCAGGGATCAGCTCCAGAAAGAAGGCAAAATCTGGGACTAGTTCAAAAAAGCAGCACACGCAGCTCCTCTGGGATGCTGCAGCAAGGGATGTCACTGTCAGCCTCAGCCCCAAAAGCAGCAAAAGCCCAGCRATGGCTTTGCAGCAAAAGAAACGAGTGATTGCTCCAAGCAGGTTTCTATGCACAGCAAAGGACAGCAGGGGTGTGGGAGTGCCTTTGGAAGAGGGATGTGATAATGAGAGAGGCGGCTGTTCTTGTACAAAGGAACAGTGACAGGCGACACGCGAACTGCTGCTGAAAACCGGGACACAGCACATTGTCTTGCCATGGCAGCCTCATCCATCCCTCCCACTCCTCATCCTGGAAACAGGAACTCACGTGGAGCAGCCTCACCTGATCACGTGGTTGATGATGATGGGCTCGGGGGGCATCAGCAAGGCGTGAAGCCTTTGTGGGATTTCAGAGAACTTCATCCGCTGCGACTCAAATATCTGTGATGGCAGAGATGGGGCTGAGGGGGAGCAGGGGCTCGCTGCAGCCACCCCTGATACCCACGTGGGGAATCTGCTCCAGATATTGCTGTTCCAGCCCCACCCTCCTTACCTGCTGCAGGTACTTGTCACAGATGACAAACTCCCTCTCGTGGGGGTCCTGCAGTTTGTGGGTCTTGATGTACTGCCACAGGGCCTGGATGATCACGGGCCGGGTCTGGGTGTGGATCCCCAGGAGCCGAGCCAGGCGCGGGTCCAGTTTGAACTGGGGAGGCTGAACAAAAAACCAGAGAGGTGAAAGGGGCCCCAGACATAGGGAATGGTGCACACCCAGCACTGCTGATCCCAGTATGGAATTGTGGAATGAGCTGGGCTGGGAGGTACCCTAAAGAAAATCCCATTCCTCTCCTTGCCATGGGCAGGAACACCTTCCACTAGGCCAGGTCGCTGATCCAAGCCCCATCCAACCTGGCCTTGGGCACTTCCAGGGATGGAGCAGCCACAGCTTCCCTGGGTAATCTGTGCCAGGCCCTCAGCATCCCCCCAGGCAGAAATTTCCCCGTTATCCTACCTGGTAATCCAGCATCAGCAGSACAGTGCAGCGCACGTTCACATCTCCCGGCCTCTTCACCTGGAAGCCRTCTGTCTCCTGAGTCGTAGCAGTCCTGTGCCACTGGGACACGAGAGGCAATTTAGAAACACCCCAACACATGGTTCCCYCTGCTCCTGCTGCTGGCTACCCAAAAGCTTTGCCAGTAAATCCCCCCAGCTAGAGAAAGCTCCAATTCTTCCCACTTACAGCCTGAAACAACAGTCTGAACGTTTGTTCAGACCTCCAGCAAGTGAGAGGAAAAGCCAAAGTGAGAATTCAAGAGCTCCCGACTCCCAGGAGCCTCAAGCATTCCCACCTCTCCACTTATAAATGACACATAAACCCCACCTGCTGAACCATCAACCCATTTCTAGAGGAAACACAGCAAAAAGCAGCTCACCTCTACTAGGTGATTGTCAGGGCCATACAGGTCTTTATCAAGTTCAATGACCAGAGATTTAAAGAAGGACGAGAACTTTCTTTTCTGCTTGGTGGCATCATATTTGGACAGAGCAGACTGCAAGCAACACAKGGAGGAAGAGGGTTAGGGCAGCAAGTCTCAGCACTCAAGCACAGCCACCGTGCACAACAGCTCCTGTAAGTTCTGAACACCTGAATTCACCAACGTGTGCTCCAAAATCAAGTTTCCAAGTGAGAAAGGGAAAGACTGGAGTTAAAGATGAGCTCGCAGGAGTTAAACCCCTCAGCAGTTACGTACAATGCCAGTGCYCTGGTTCTCAGAGCCGGGGACACGAGTGCCACTGAGCTGCTCTCACCAATGGTTCTCACAGCTCTAAGAACTTTGGACAACTCATGTCCTGCCATGGGGATACCCATCGGTCTCCAAGCTGGGCTCTCGGTCTCGTCACCATCAGACTCCTTGGAAAACAGAGATGAAGGAGGATATCAAGCCCCAGCTGTGCTCTCAGACACTGGGAAAGTGGTTTCATTGGCAATTGCAGACCCACAGCCTCCTCTGAGGCTGCCTATTTCCCACTTACATCCTCCAACAGCCGTCCTTCCACCCGAAGCTCCCAGGAGGCGACGGTTCCTTCGCCATCCTCCGCATCCGACTTGGCTGGGTTGAAGGTGTTGGAGATAAAAATACGCAGCTTTCGCTTTTGCTACGAGAAAAACCATCAGCTCAGTGTTAATTCTCACCTCCAGAGCCAACTGTCCTGCACAGGCTTTGCTAAAACTGAGCTGAATGTTTGCAGCTGCCTGACATTCTCCCTCTCCTGGGGCACACACCAGGACAGAGGTGCTGCTGGTCCCAGTGCTTGGCTGTGCCCAGAGATTTGGGATCTCTGATATGCCACAGTCCCAGCACAMAACCCTTCAGTGCCCTCCTGCTGCYTGARCTCAGCATTCTCCAAACCCTAAATACAGCCCATGGASTCCCCTACCTTGATGGGGCGTTTCAGAGCCTCCTGGATATCCAAGCGCTTCCTCATGATGGTCTGGTCCAGCTTCCTCTCAAAGGCCAACAAGTCCATGTAGGCCTGGGATTCGGGCACGAGCTCMCGGATCTGTGGCCAAGCAAGGATGGAAGAGCCCATCAGCTCCCCAGAGTGCCCCAGGCTGCCTCCCCTTCCCCTGAGTCCCTCCCGTGTGCCACTCACCCGCTGCGGAAGGATTTTATCTGCCATCTTCTTCTTCTTGGCACTGCCAGGGCAAGAGGCAAAACAGGCATGAAAATGGGCACAGGAACTCACAAACCTGCAGCACCGACTGGCCAGTGACTGCCCAGTTCCCTGGGTCTGCTCCAGTGTGATTAACTGGTTATCTCAACGTTTCCCATCCCTCTGAGCACTCGGAAAAGGAGCTACATCCACTGAAAAGYGGWTTGYATCCACGGAAAGGGGRCTGCATCCCTTGGGAAGGTGGACCYGACACAACGCCCTCCCCAAGTGTCTCTCCAGCCTCAATCAGCTTTGGATTGGCTTTTCCAGGAACAGCATTTTGAATCCAGGATGAATTCCACTGTCACCAGGGCATCACATCAGGATGCAGGAATGTGACATGAACTCAGCCCTGCCCTGCCCAGCGTTGCCCTTGGGAGTCCTCYGGTCCCAGGGGGATGCACAAGGACCTGACATGGCCTTTCATCCCCCTGAGTGCTGCAGGATGGCCAAGAATTCCAGAATTCCTGAGGCTGGAAAAGCCCTCCAAGATCGAATCCAACCTGTGACTGATCTCCACCTTGTCACCAGATCAGAGCACTGAGTGACACATCCAGTCCCTCCCTAGACACCTCCCTGGGCAGCTCCTTCAATTTCCATGAACAAATTCCTCCTGAACCCCAAGGAATGTCCCCTCAGCCCAGCGATGTTGCTGCTGCGCTGAGATGCTCCCATTGTCTGGGGATGTCCCCAATGACAGGGATGTCCCCGGTGCCCGGCAGTGCCATGTCCCCGTTAGCCCGGGATGCTCCCATTGTCTGGGGATGGCCCGGGATGTCCCCAATGGCGGGGATGTCCCCAGTGCCCGGCAGTGCCATGTCCCCGTTAATCTCGGGATGCTCCCATTGTCTGGGGATGTCCCCAATGGCGGGGATGTCCCC